GTACAGCTGAGGTTGACAGAATGTATTGCCCTTAGGTGACATGATTATCATACCTTTCATAGCTCAGTCATTAGCCTGAGACACTTAATCTCAGGATCGTGGGTTAGAGTCCCTTGTTGGACAAAAGAATTCTGCATTGGAGTGGGTTGGACTAGATCAGTGTTTCCCAACCTTTTTCTGACTGTGGCCGCCTTCTGACCCTGTTTCCTTCCTGTGCCCCCCTTCCCCGGATGTAGCCAAGGGGTGGAGCTGTCCCCCAATAAGAAAGAACCTAATACAAATCTGAGTTTCTGCCACTCTAATAAAAGCCTGCCCCCCTAACAAAAATCCTGGATACACCCATGCTCCCGCATCCTACCTATGGTATAAAGGCAGCTATTTAAATGTTTTGTTTCTAAATAGGACATGTTTTTAAATATCTTTTATAATTTATACAAAATACAATTACATAAAATTATAGGACCATAATGAAAGATTGTTGAAGCAGAAAACCAGAACCATAGTGCTTGAAGGGACCCCAAGGGTCATCTTCCTCGTGCAACCTCCTGCAAAGTAGGAAACTCAGCTAAAGCATCCCTGACAGGTGGCCACCCAACCTCTGCTTAGAAACTTCCAAGAAGGAGAGTCCAGAACTTCCCGAGGGAGATCCATCTTCCATATATGATAAAAAGCACACAACACTTATTTGATGCCAGTTATTTGACACAGAGGGGGAAACCTACAGATATAGGCCAGAAGGCGCACAGGGAGTTCTGTATATATGGGAGAAGTTTAAAAAGCAAGTGGTCCTCACTGGCCTGGTGCAAAAATATCTTGTCATCCAGAGAAGCCCTGGCTGCCTAGATAAAACGCTATAGCCCCCCACACACTTACCTGGGAGCAAGGCTCTCTGAACTCAGTGTGGCTTTCTTCTGCATAGACACTTAGTTATTTACTAGATGCAAGTGAGCAACACCAGACGACCCCACTAGGCTAGGCACTCAGGCAGATTTCATCCCGTGCCTTCCAGAGCCTGGCTGATGCTGCCGACAGGCCCTGCGCCCCTTGGCAACATCCGAAGGCCCTGATCGGCTAGGCACAGGGTAGATTGAACCCTGCACCTTGCAGAGTCAGGCCCAGGCTGTCACCGGGCCCAGCACTGTGGCAGCAGCAACAAGCAGCTCTGGCTTGCCCTACCCATTAACCTGACCTGGGGGTTCTGGATACCCATACACTGGGTAAGCTGTTTCCTGCTTGGCAGGGGGTTGGACTCGATGGCCCTTGTGGTCTCTTCCAACTCTATGATTCTATGATTTTATGATTTAACCTGACCTGGGGGTTCTGGATCATAGACTCCACTGGCCAAAACGGGAGCCTCAGTGATCGCCCTCTCCCACCGGAAACAAACCAGGATCACTAAAGAAGAAAACATATGTGACAAAATTGGGTCCTGGTGGGCCACTCTCTTATTTGCTTGTGATTGGCCAAGCAGATAGCCAGCCAATCAAGATTTTTTAAATATAAAAAATGATTCGCCCCCTTCACTTCTCACTTCCCTCTCTGGCTCCCTAGCCTCACGCTGTGACCCCCATTTATGGGATTTTCACCTGGGGGGCCCTTGGAATATCCTAGGGCCCCCAGGGGGCCCTATGGCCCGTGGTTGGGAAACACTGGGCTAGATGACCCTCATGGTCCCTTCCAGTTCTACAATTTTATACTGATATGAGTCTATGAATTATAAGTCATTAGGAGACTGCTGGGTGACCTAAAATTTTTTGGCCTGTAAACACATAATTTTTTTGCTGCAGGAAATGAATCAAAAAATATTTATTTGTGTTTTCTTATTGCAAGCACATTTACTCTGTTTTGGGAGGAGTTTCTAATACAAATAAACACTTCACTACTATTGCGTTTCAGCTTTTTTGTGGCTTTGGTAATAGGAAATATTTAAGATGATGAATGCAACAGAATTATACGTAGTGTAAGAATTTAGAAATGTGCAAGGCAGCCCAAACACAAATATCTTATCAAAAAAAGTTTACATTTTAAAAGTATGTAGATTATTTCCAGTAAATATCTAAAGTGAAAAGCTTAATAATATTTCATTTGTGAACTTGGATTCTGACCTGATAGAGTAAATGTTTACTTTAGGGGTGGGAAATATCTAGACCATGGGCCAGGCCTGTCAGAGGCCTGCAAAGCCTATTCCCTCAAAGCATGCCCACCTACCTACCCTATATGACACCAGGTCTGGGACATCTACAGATGCAGCTGCCAATGCACAATCATAAGGCTTAAACTGTATTACCCGTTGTACGTTGTCTCTACCAGTGCCCCTGCAGGTTTTGGCTCTAAAACCAAAGTCTCAGGTGGCTTAAAGGCTCTTTGTAAGTGCCTCGTGTTGCTTTGAGGTCCTAACTTCAGGACTAAAAAGTTACCTGATGTCATGGTGTTGTCAGGTGATTAACCAGTGGACAGCCCCACCCAGCTGTCAAATTTGGCCTGTGAGGCTAGGATCCTGACGTCCATACCTGGCATGCGGAGCCAGAAAGGTCTCCCATGCCAATTTACATGGCTTTGCATGGCCTAGTAAGCAGACTATATGCAACGAGACAGAAGCAGCTGTTCCTAAGCAAGAGCATAGTGGCTGTCGCAGATCCCACAAATCTCATTGGTTTTTATTTATTTATAAAAGTATTTATATACTGACAATTCATACAATGTAACTTGGCAGTGTGCAGTAGTATATGCAATAGAATATAACATACCATCAAAATAGTAAATCATTATCAACACATTAACTGGCTGATCAAAAAATGTAAACACAGGCCTATCAAGAGACACCTGAAAATAAAAAAATTAGGGTGTCTGTTGATTTTCCGCTGGAAGAGTGTCCCAAAGTGTGGGACGGATGAGACTAAATCCCCAACTTCTGTTGGCGGCCAGCCTGGTCTCAGTAACAACTCTGTATGATCTGTGGTCTAGTTGGCTTGGGAGGTCCTTAAGATACCAGCAAGAGGATAATGGAAGGTTAAAAAGCTAGACTTTTGTTAAATATTTTACATAAGTTACATATGATTGACACGTGATGAATGCAGCAGTTTGTAACTACAGAGTTCTTTGTGAATAGCAGATAATCTCACCAAGACACAGAACAAAGACTTTCCACTGGAAACTTGTAATATTGATGGCGGGTATCGAATAAGGGAGCCGGAGTATTTCTGTCTCTGAATCTTCTGAATCATTGATGGATTTTGTGCATTGGTACACATTTTTGTTGATATGGTGTTATTGATACACCTTTTTTTCCTTGGAAGAGAGTGGAGAAATAGGCGCTTCTGGATCAATGCTAGCAATCCAGATTCTACAGTTTGTAGCATGGCAGCAGGACAATACTTTGTTCTGTGCAACAACAGATACTTAAATTGAATAATTAGGCTGCTAATAGCAAATGGTTTATTCACAAATACTTGCCCTTTGAATGATTTCCTTCTCTTTTCTGAGCTACTTTGAGGAGACATACCTAGAGCTATGATGGACAGAAACACAAGGGGTGGACTCCATGCGCTCTGGCACTTGTCACAGTGTCCTGTTGCGCCAGAAGCAGTTTAGTCCTGCTGGCCACAAGACCCGGAAAGCTGTCTGTGGACAAATGCCGGATCCCTTGGCCTGAAAGTGAGATGAGCGCCGCAACCCCATAGTCGCCTTTGACTGGTCTTAACCATCCAGGGGTCCTTTACCTTTAGTACTTACTCATATGCAGTCTGAAAGTGAAGCTTTTCAGATATGTGAAAGGCTGGCTCAAATTTAATTCTGAAGCCTGGAAAAGACCCCAATAAGCGGATTTTTGTATTTGATGGCAACATATTATGGAGGATATGGCATCGTCTGCCTGCATTTAGAAGAGCTTTGTGCTGTATTGTTAAATTAACTAATTTATTTAATTCAAGTAGTTTCTAATAGATTTGCTTAGTTTTGTGAATTACATTTATATGACTGATATTAAGGAACAGGGGCTCATGATGTTTTTAAAATTTCTAGAGTTCAGTAGATATTCACTCCTCTTCCACGTGAATAAACCTGTTCCAGGAAGTTGCTCTGAGCAACCTGGCATTTCATCCTTGTCTGTGAATCACAGCTATTCTCCTCATTCTTCAAATGGGCACACTAACTCACATGTGTAATTCATCCATTTTTTGACATCCATATCTATGACATTTTCATTAATAATCATTACAAATTTCATTGGACCCAGATTTACACCTATTTAATCCTAGCATAAGTTCCAAACACAGGTTTTGCTATTTAAGTCATAAATTTGGAAGGGATATGCATATGAACTCACTTCTATGCATTACCCTTCTAACCTTCGGGATTTGTTTAACAAACCGGAACATAAATCCAAACCATTGGAGACATAAAGGAAAATTAATTGGGGCTCTTATATTTCCTCTTGGAGGTCTTTTCCACTATCATCCCTTATTTTCTTTCCTTCATTCTTACTCTCTGAGGCCTTCATTCCCTTTGGCTGAGAACTCTTAACCAACCTTTTAAAAATGTAGTCCTATCTGAGTGTAGAAGCGTACAGTTTGAAATATGACCATTTTTAATTATCTTTCTTTTATTGCATATGATGAAATGGGCTTTAGTCCATGAAAGCTTATGCTGCAGTAAATTTGTTAGTCTTTAAGGTACCACACGACTCTTCGTTGATTTCTCTGCAGCAGACTTAACACAGCTCCTTCTGTGAATTTCTTTTTCTGTTTTATTTAACTTTATTTGCCCATGTTCAGTTTATATACAGCTCTGAGCATCTCTTTCTCCCTTTCTGATAAAAATCTGTCTTAAATATTCCTGTAATTTTTGTGGGTTTTGGTAATTTCAAAAAGGAAGATCTGGTGTGGCACGATACATGGAAAAGATAAACATGACATTAGCATAATGCCATTGCATTGTTTATGAAGCCTTGTGATGCATACTTATGATCAGCTTTTGCAAGTAAACTGAAAGCAAATTCATGTCTTTCATAGTCTAAACACCTAGAAATTAATTACAGGAATATATCTACCCTCTAACATCTATCTATCTAATGTCAGTTTTAGTAAGAGGGATCAGATATTCACTTAGCAGAACAATTTCCCCCTCCTTTGTTTGGAAACTTTTCTTTAGTTTGCTTTCCTTCTTCTTTATGGTTTTGTGTCCTCTTGGCTAACTGCTCTCTGTATTTCATTCTGCTCCACTGGCTCCTTTGAAGTTATTTATGATTTAATTGTATTTATTCACTTAACACAGATGCATCTGTGTCCCATTCCCAATAGAAGGGTTTTCATTTCATCTCTGTCACTAAATGCTAACGTCTCATGCATTTCTTACCTCTACAAGCCTTTTACAGTGTCGTTCCTATGGTAACTTAATGTGATTCCTTTTAACAGAGCTTACAGTATAATCACTAGAGTTTTTATTTGTAGTGCAGAGGTTCTTTTTCGTTTGTGTGTTTTGTTTTTGTTTGCTGCCTTGTATCTGTGATTGTAAATTGCTTTATAATCCTATTCTAATGAACACTACACAGTTGATGTCTGTTTCTACTTCAGGCATGGCTTGGAAATGTTTCATCTGCTTTTCGTTTTTGTTTGTTGACAACATGGTGGTGAAAAGGGTTGCTTCTTAAATCCACAGCAAATCTTTTGATGAAAACCATTGATTTGCCCACTTCTCCACCTTCATATATAAATGCAGCTAGCAGTCTAATATAGAATAGACTTAGCATTCTCTAAACTAGGAGAAGACTTGCTCCCACTCCTTTTCACTCCCTTACTAACTCTTATTGTCCCTGCCATGGTTTGCAAATCCAAGTCAAACCATGGTAGTTCAAAATGAAAATAACAATCAGATCATAACAACAAACAACTTAACAGGAGCTCTGAGCCCAGCAACTTGCGTCATTTCAAGAAGGTCATCAAATCAGTTCCTTGTTCCAACAAAGTAAGATTTCCCAAAATTAATTGCCTATGGCTTAGCAGCACCACATATATGCGCAGACTCCCCAGAGAGGAGCTTGTGGGTGCTTTGCACCTCTCTGGTCCTTTGTGCAGCTGCTTCGCAAGTCATTGGAAATTAGGCTTGTGGTTTAAGCTCTTTCCTCATGAACCATGGGCTGTTGTTTTGTTGCTAGTGTGTTTGGCATAGTGTGATGTGCAAACGAAGCTGTTTAGTTTTTAGTTCCACAATGAATTTGAGTTATGTTAGCAAGAATATTCCCGAATGACCTTAATTCCATCTCTTTTGGGTTAATTGTTTGATCCAGTTTGAAGAGACAACTTTTTCCATATTCCACTTCTTCATACTATCATGGACACCTAATCTCCAGAGATTCCCTAAATAACCAAGATACCCATGCCTTCAAAATATTTTTGAGTCTTAAGAGAATTGGTGGACCTGACCCTGTTAATTCACGGCATTAGTTACCCCTGCCAAATGATGGTACATCTAAGTTTCTCCATGTTCATGCCTCATTCATTGCCTATATAGCGACCGGTGCCAAGAAGCATATTCAAAAGGAATATTTTGTAATGTGCAGGTCTAAAAATTGGCATTCTCCTTTAATTCTGTAGAACTGTGTAAATTTAAAATGATTACCATACAATAGCAGCTAGTCAGAAGTCACAAACTGATAGGAGTTTTTAATATATATATATTTTGAGGTCAAGCAAGGTCAAAATTCCATTTGATTGCAATTGCCTTTCTACTTTCTTAAAAAAACATTTAAACTAACACTGTTGATATCCATTTTTTTATGTAGACCTGTTCACTAGCCAATAGTATTAGTCATCCAAAACACATCATATGGATTAATGGATAAGAATTTTCTGGCATCTTACTGCTAACAGTTTGATACCAGCTGATCTTTTTTCAATTACACTTATTTTTTAATCTCTAAATTTAATCTATTCAAATGATAAGCAAGTTTGAGATTTCAGCAAGTCCAGTTGCTTATCAATAGATCATCCGGATAAAACTCTTGGATCTCACAATTCTGCTTTAAGAACAAGTCCTCCAGTCCTTAAAGGTTGCAGTCCTGTGTGCATCCATCTTGGAACAGACCCACAACTACATGGGGGCATTTTGGGGCTCCCCGCTAGTATAAAAGTAGCAGACCCCAGTCAGAAGCTCATCCCTTCCCCCATAATGTTGGTGACGGCTAATGTTTCAATGGCAACTGGGTTGCCTTCATTGAAGAAAAAGAAGAAGAAGAAGAAGAAGAAGAAGAGTTTGGATTTGATATCCCGCTTTATCACTACCCGAAGGAGTCTCAAAGGGGCTAACATTCTCCTTTCCCTTCCTCCCCCACAACAAACACTCTGTGAGGTGAGTGGGGCTGAGAGACTTCAGAGAAGTGTGACTAGCCTAAGGTCACCCAGCAGCTGCATGTGGAGGAGCGGGGAAGCGAACCCGGTTCACCAGATTACGAGACTACCGCTCTTAACCACCTAGATGCAGAGTCCCTGCATCCAGCCCTTGAGATGCTTTGAGCAGCAACCAAGATCCCTCTTCAAATTGATTCTGTTTGGGCTGGCTGGGCAGGCAGGGAGGAAGAATGGACTTGACGCTGTTTCCCTTCCTCCAATCCCAGAGGTCCTTGAACTGCTGCTGCTGCTTTCAGTTGGCATGCAAAAGGACAGGAAGCAGCTGGGAGCACCAAGTCCCCCTTGCTGTGGATGCTTTTAGTTGAAAGGGAACAAACCAAAGAAGAATCTCATCACACAGTATAACACCCCACCCTTCATAGAAGGGAATTGTGCTCTTTTATAATTTTTATATTTTATATATACATGTCTGTCCAGAACCAAGTCCCACTGAGTTTGTGGGCCTTACTCCCAAATAAGTGAGTGCATTATCACATTCAGCCTGATGTAATGTTGAAGTCTCTGGAAATACCATTGAGGGTACACAGGATTCTGGTGATTTTTCTGCTTTGGGCTTTGTTTTTCTGTCTGAGGAGTTATCAGCATTTAGGGGATGATAATATTGTTTGTTGTGTGGATGCAGGTTCTTTGACATTCCTAGATGAGTTAACCAGAAGCTGCTTGCATTTCAATTCAAGGGTCGATTAGCCAGAATTAAACGAATTATTACTTCACTTGGAATTCATGGGAGTTTTCAGATGCCTGTGACAGGAGTTCAGGCCTAAGTAGTATTTCAAAATACATCAGACTTAAAATATATCAATCTTTCGTTGCTTTATTTCAGCTGTTAAGAGTAGCTGCATGTGTGCTTGGATGATGGTCTTGGGAAAATTTGTACGTCTGCAGGATCCTGGGGGAGAGAAAGACTTACTGGAAATTAGTAGATTGAGAGATAATTTAACAGGAGTCAATGTGGGTAATAAATTTAAGGTAAATTGATTTTTGGGCGGTGTGCCTATTGTTTAATAAGAGTTCTGATATATTATATTCTTTTGTAAGAATAGCTCAGTTGTAGCAGTCTGCAATATGTGTGTGAAATAAAGGGATTTCAGAATGGTGTGTGCACTATTCATGTGCACTATATTGTGCCCATTGGTTACTGGTCCTGTCTGGAACTTATGCTCAAAGGACTGTATTGTAAATTCAATTAAATAATGATGGCAAGACAGCAATCTAGTCAACAGTAGCAGTGAACATTGAATAGTTTTTCATAATATTTGGGAAACAATGAATATTAATATTTTTTAAGTCACTCCAAGCTAAGAAGGTTCAGAAAATGCAACTTTGTTCATCATACATTTTACTTTAGTGGTGGTTCAGGAAGAATATGAGAAACTACAATGAACTCTCTCCCTGACCCCCTTCACGCAGATTTGAGTAAATTTTGTAGAAACAAAGATGAACGCGTGACTCCATTTGCTATATCTCATTTGCTTTTCTAATCTGTAACAAATTACCTATACTTGTGACAGCTGAAGAAATCTTTACAGTACCACAGTGCTTTGGTGTGTAAAAGGCGAACAGTTTCAGTTACATTATATATATAAGCTGGCAGTAACACAATCACTTCTTTGGCTAGATTGCTTTTTACTTTATTCGTTGTGTGTTTTGAGACCCTTAATGCATGTTTTCCTACTGTGTTCCATGGAGAAATCAAATTGGTTCCATGGTACATAAATGTTTTATGCAATATTCCATAGAGAACATTAAATAAGAATAAAGAAGCCTTGACCTCTGGCACCTACACCCATTTCTTATGTCAAATGGGGAGATGCTGAAAGCTCTCTGTGCTTGTAACCCTTCTATCTAGCTGTGACCCTCCTTAACGTTAAGCAGGTGACTCGATTAAACATAAATCAGGCATAAAATGCCCTGCGTGAGGCAGCACAGTGAATCAAGCAAATTATCAAATGGCAAAACTCATTTTGTGCTGAGGGCAATGTAAGCTGCCAGCATTTATACATCAAAACTTCACTCAATGTAAGATTGATTTTATTTTATTTTGTTTATTTTAATTCCCTATAGCGAGCTGTGTTAGCCCTGTAAAATGCTGCCTGCATCATTAGGCTCCTAAGAAATGCTTTTTAGCAAGGGGATGGAGCTCAAGCTTACAACAAATGTAATCCATCTAAGAGCTCGTGCGCCATAGTACTCTATAACTGGTTGTGGAAGAGCAGGTCATTTTTCTTTTTCTTTTGGTTGCAATTGCGCTGAAATATAAGTGCCTGTGACTATATAGATTTTCTTTGTCTATCGACTCTTATCAAAAATAAGACCACCAAAGGAATAATGTAATAGAATCGAAGTACTGGTAGCATCCAAGATATTTTTCCAGTTCCAGTTGAGATGTTCGGATTAAGGTGTATAAGCCCAGTCTTAAGACTGAAATGAATTTTTATGTAAGATGATACATGTCTTCCTTTCACAGTTGCTTTTTATGCTGCTTTAAAACATGTCAAAATAATCCCCAACAGAGGAATCTAAAAGGAATGTCAGCTCTGTGGTTATGTAAATCGAATCGAGTGCTTTACAGCAGGTTTAAGATTTTTATAACTCAGAAGTTGTTAACAGCCAGCTGGTTTGTATCTGTTTTTTATGGTTATTCTTGTCATATGCAGCCTCCACAATTTTTAATTATATTTTATGGTATCTGTTTTCCCTCCTCTTGAATCCCACAGCCACTGTTCGCTATAGAAGATATTTTCCATGGGGAAGAGAGAAAGCATTGGTTTGGGACTTCATCATTAGAAACTCTGTTGTATAATTACTCCAGGTTCTTGGTAATGGAGTCCATTGGCAATGGAATTATGTAGAAAATGTGTAGGTTGGTATTGCAGAGAGAAACCTCTAGTACTTGGTATATTCTGTCAATAAGTTTTGAACACAAGTATAGATAGAATCATGCAACTGTTGTCCTCCCTATTAAGATAGCTGATTTGCAAATTTATTGATGTTTCGTCATGCAAATTAACTTTTGCTTTACAGTTCAATATATTATTTGTTTTGGGCATTATTGTCTTCAAGATATTTGATTACATCAAAGTTTGAAATCACCATTTGTTTTACATGCTTCTCAGATCCTGTGTTCATAATACAATTAAAATAATGGCAGTAGTGGAAAAGATTAGTCCCCTCATCCCCCAGAAAAAAAAATCTATACATGCCTTCTCAGAAGTTAGCTCCATTGGTTTCAGTGGGACTTACTCCCAGGTGCATGTGTATAGGATTGCAGTCATAGCTTTATGGCTCTTAACTGTAGTTACTTTTAAGTCTGTAAAGGATTCTTTTTAGAAAAATTCATAAAGTATTTTTTCCCACAAGAATTCTCCAAATACTGATTTTAAAAAGAAATTTTATGATTTCATTTTTTTGAAAGCACAGATTAATTCATTAACAAGAATATTTTTAGTTGCATACCCCCACAGCATCTCAGCGCTATACTAGTAGAACTCAGCTCAATAAAATAAAATGTGTCGGATGCTCTTTAAAGAAACCACCTCCCATGGGATCAAAAAGTTTATCTCACTTGACATATGTTTGCTTGAATTGTCACTAAATGAATTTTGTAGACCAGTCCTGCCAGAACAAGCAAGAAAAACCTACCAGCGATGGCTATGATCCTGCACTTATACTAGACCATGTTATCTATGGAGTTTCCACACGGTGCAGTGTTTTCAGCCAATGTCATCTGAAGAAGGCATTTCCACAGAGCATAGCAGAAACAATATCAGCTTCTGCTGTATAGTCAAAGAATTGATTCGTCTAATCCAATTTCATTACTTTAACAGGCAAAAATCCATATAGGTATTATCATCAAACTTAATATCTACAGACATTATGGCTCTGTAAAGGGCTACTTCTATTACAGTATATTATAATATTTAAGCAGTTCAGTGTTAGGAAGTGTTTGTTTTCGCCTACTTACTCTTCAGTGTCTAAAAGAACTGAACTGAAGAATAAATACGCTCCCAGCCCTCCCCTCCTGTTCTGTATAATCCAGGACAACAATCTGCAGCCTGCTGATTTGGGAATAAGTGCACAGAAAGATCTTTACTCTAAATAGTTGTTGCTTGGAAGTGTGTGGAGCTTTATTTATTTAGGAATTTCTGCCCTACCTTTCACCATTCAGTCACTGGGCAGTGGACAACATATTAAAGCATATCAATACACATTCTAAAACCGAGTAAAACATTACTGCAAAATAAACTTGGCTTAAACTAAAATAAGAGAACAACATAAAATAGTAGAGTGTACAGTGCAAAGCTAAACTCAGACAGAATGCGCCCCTTTACGTCCAAAAGCCTGAAAAAATGCATCTGTCTTCACCCACCACCCAAAAAAGTAAAGTGTTGAGCTGAGACATACTTCAGTGGAGGAATCGTTCCAAAGTTTTGGAGTGCCACAGATAAAGTCCTACTCTTGGCCCAGACTCAGCTGACCTCATCCTTGGCCAGGACCACCAGGAGAGTCTCATGGGTAAGCAAACAAAGGCCTGGGGGCTGGATCCGGCCCAATCGCCTTCTCAGTCCGGCCCGCAGAAGTCCGGGAATCAGCATGTTTTTACATGAGTAGAATGTGCGCTTTTATTTAAAATGCATCTCTGGGTTATTTGTGGGGCATAGGAATTTGTTCAGTTTTCCCCTTTCAAAATATAGTCGTCCCCCCCCCCCCAGGGTCTGAGGGACAGTGGACCGGCCCCCTGCTGAAAAAGTTCGCTGACCGCTGATCTTAAAGATTGGACAGGATGGTGGGGCAGAAGTCATCCTCTTA